ATGACGTATTTTCTTTGAAAGAGATACTTTATTGACTTGGAAGAGGTTTATGATGACACCTGTGTTTAAGTGATGCTCTGAGAGTCCAGCTTGGGACCTGGATAAAATAAAAGAGTAAAATGTTGTTTTTGATGGTGAGCAGAGGGGAGTGTGTGCAGGCATGGGTACTGGCTTTTCTTAGAGGATTCTTGAACATATTGGTGTCAAGGATTGTGGCAGAGCTGGAAATACACAGTAAAACCTTGCTGAACTCCTTAGTGAGGCTAAGGCTACTGACACCTCTCTTTGAGGGTTTTCTTTTTTCTTTTTTTTTTTTTTTGAGACGGAGTTTCGCTCTTGTTACCCAGGCTGGAGTGCAATGGCACGATCTCAGCTCACTGCAACCTCCGCCTCCTGGGTTCAGGCAATTCTCGTGCCTCAGCCTCCTGAGTAGCTGGGATTACAGACACACGCCACTATGCCCAGCTAATTTTTGTATTTTTAGTAGAGACAGGGTTGTACCATGTCATTCAGTCTGCTCTTGAACTCCTGACCTCAGGTGATCCGCCCAACTTGGCCTCCCAAAGTGCTGGGATTACAGGTGTGAGCCACCGCATTTTGCCAACTATCTTTTAAATGTACTGTGGCCTTTGGAAGCCACAAATACCTGTTCTATCTGAATTTTTTTCACTCCCTAAGAACCAAGTTTTCCCCCTTTGAGAATGCCCATCTAAAACACTCTTCGGAATATAATTTAATGACTGTGTGGTACTTTATCATGGCAGAACCATAATTAATCTAACAGCCCTTACCCTCTTGCTGTATCTCACTCTCTTAAAAATAGACACGTAGGTTGAGTGGTTTTGTTTTTTGCCATTTTAAATGCTAGAATAAATCTTTGCACAAAAATCTGTGCCCTCCAAATACGGTGACCATGACATTGACTCTCCCTGCTCAGTTGCAGTGACATTGATGTGTGTGTGCTGAGCAGGCCAATGACCTCTAACGTTCTTTACTCACCTTTCCTGCCACCATACTGTGTGCAGCTGCCCCAAGCCCTTAGTCATTGGAAGCAAGACATGGCACCATGTGCTGAATGTTTCGTATCTCTCATGTACTCACCTAGTTTTTTTTGTTTTTGTTTTTGTTGTTTTTTGTTTGTTTGTTTGAGATGGAGTCTTGCTCTGTCCTCAGGCTGGAGTGCAGTGATGCAGTCTCAGCTCACTGCAACCTCTGCCTCCTGGGTTCAAGCGATTTCCTGCCTCAGCCGCCCGAGTAGCTGGGATTACAGGTGCATGCCACCACACCCGGCTAATTTTTTTGTATTTTTTTAGTAGAGACAGGGTTTCACCATGTTGGCCAGGCTGGTCTTGAAATCCTGACCTCAAGTGATCCGCCTGCCTGTGCCTCCCGAAATGCTGGGGATTACAGGCGTGAGCCACCGCCTCCAGTTCTCACCTAGTTTTAATCCTCAGATCAGTCTTAAGGAATATCATGAGTTGAGAATGCTTTCTGGAAAGTTACTTGTCCAAGATTACATAGCCAGTCAGCAGAGAAGGTGATGCAGCTCTGCTTGATTCCAGAATGGAAGCCAATAACCAGTTCATGATATTCTGGGTATAAAGAACGAGGTTGGAGAGGGGGTACTGCTCCAATGAATAATCAGGCTCTTAGAGGTGGCCATGAGGGCAAAACCCACCAGCTTCAGGAGGAAGAAAACGTAGAAAATTCAAGTCCTTCCTTTGTAACTGTCAGCGGTTGACCCAACCTTTTCTTCTTCTTCTTTTTTTTTTTTTTTTTGAGACAGAGTCTGTCGCCTAAGCTGGGGTGCAGTGCTGGGATCTTGGTTCACTGCAACCTCCGCCTCCCAGGTTCAAGCGATTCTCCTGGCTCAGTCTCCCAAGTAGTTGAGATTACAGGTGTATGCCAGCACGCCTGGCTAATATTTGTATTTTTAGTAGAGACAGGGTTTCTCCATGTTGGCCAAGCTGGTCTTGAACTCCTGAGCTCAAATGATCCATCTGCCTCAGCCTCCCAAAGTGCTGGGATTACAGGCATGAGCCACCGTGAGCAGCCAACTCGACCTTTTTAAGTAGCTTGTGAGGAGAATGTGTTTGTCTTTGTTCACCCCTTTCCTGGAATGTCTCTTAACTTTGAGGGGCCAGCCAGCCCCTCAAAGCTGAGTTTCTGGGGAAGCCATGACTTTTCGTGTCAGGATGTCTGCGGCTCATTGTTGGAAAAGATTCCTCGAGGGTCTGTTGTGTTTCGAATGGTACCCAGTGTTGGGGAAGTTTGGAGAGAGGCAGCCCAAGCCCGTCTCCTCCACCGGCGGCTGTGGAACCTGGGGTGTGTTTTAGCTCATTAAGCCTCAGTTTTCTTTAAATTAAAAAACTGGAATGAATAATACCCATCTTATTTACCATAGGGTAGTTAAAAGGTTAATTGAAACATGAAAGCATATTACAGTGTTTTCCCAATTCCTGTTTAAATTGATAGGAAACACAGTAGGGAAGACGGCCTGAGCAAGATGGGTGTGTGGAGTGTTGAGGGCATGATTGGAGAGAAGGGAAGTGTGAACACACTGGCATGGTGGTAGCAGAAGTGCCCCATCAGGGTATGAAGAGCTGAGGCTGCACTTGAAAACTTAGAAGCAGGAACTCCCTGTCTAGCCTACCCTACATGGCTGGCCTTTATTTAGAGACAATTCTCAAAAGGCTGTGCAGGGCACCGCTGTGCTCCCACTAAACATACATGTATGGAGACATGGCTCTGCCTCCCACTCATTCAGTCTATAAACCAATGAGAGTGCAACAAGACCAGAATGAGACTGAGAGTGGCCTGTGGTGACCTGTCAGGGACTATTTAAACCAGCCACAAATCATGTGGGCAGGGAACAGATGTCTGGACTGGCCACCTCAGGGCCCATCTCCCACAGTTTGCTGTACTAGCAGGCCTCTGTTCGCTTGTAAGTGTTTTTATTCATGGTCAGCTTTTAATGGGGTTTGAGTGTAACAGACTGAGCTTAGAAAAGCTTGCTGCGAGGAAAGGTAAGAGATGAACTGAGCAAGAGTTTTGAAAAATAGGGACAATCCCATTCTCCTTTGGAATGCCAACAAATACTGAGGCATCCAATGTATGGCAGCACATGTCCTGACCTCAAGGCCCAAACGTGAGCCAATCCCCTTACATTACAAGCAGCTCATTTGCCAGGTGTTCTTTTCTAGTATCTCCACTACTCGTGGACACAGGAGGACACAGGATATTGAAAATGAAATAGAATTCTGTCAATTATTCACTTATTCTCCAAAATACTTGGAAGAACCAAATATGAAATCATAGGAGCCTTTATACTCACCAAATAGGCCCTATACTAACCAAACTCCTTATTTTTTAATTGACTAATCGTTTTTAGGGAGGTAGTAATTTATTTACTAAAATATTTTTTGTTAATACTTGTTTATTTTTAGAAGGAGCTGCAGTGATGCAGGCTGCAGAGGAGGGTCACATATGCTTCCATCCCCCTTGTAGAGAATCCACACCTGTCCCAGTTGCTGAGTTCTGCTACCAAATGTGAAATTGCAACTATTTTGGGAGCACTTAAACACATCAGAAAAATGAGTGATTCTGTTCTGGCCCGTACCACGTCACTGATGTACCCCCTTAAAGCATGCCACTGATTTCATCACAAAAGACTGCTCCTCCACAAGGTTAGAACTGTCCTTGACTTAGGGAAGAAGAGAGAGAGAGACAGGCACCAACTGGGTAACCTCTGCTGACTCCCTCCCCCCCCCACTCCACTTTACCATAATAGTTCCAAATCCTTCTAGAAAATCTGAAAGGCATAGCCCCATATATCAGTGATATAAATAGAACCTGCAGGCTGTGGTAGGTGATGACTCCAAGGTGGACTGGGAGGCCGCCCGGCCTTGGCAGACATCATCCTCTAAATATAAAGATGAGTTTGTTCAGCCTTTGCAAAAGGAAAAAACTGCTACCCATCCTAGAGTGCAGCGTCCTCGTCCTCTTTATTGGGAGGAAGGACCAGCAAAGCCTCATCTAGGAAGAGCCCCTCACCCATCTCCACCTCCTATGGTTGTGACCCTTGTCTTTCAGCCCCAGGAAAGGGACACATATAGCACCACCAAAGAGGTTGGGGGAGGGCCTCAGCCCACCAAACCCTGAGGCCAGTGCGTCCTAGAGGAGGGGAACCCCAACTCCTTCACTCCCTTTAGGAGTGACGCGCTGCGCGTCCCTGAGGCGGACAGCTCCGTGTGCCCAGGCTCTGCGCCTGACAGTGCCAGAGCTACCTTTCAGGCCTGTCCCCGGGAGCCCCCGCTCCTCCTCCCCAGCGCTCCGCCCTCGCCTCCCCCCGCCAGTTGTCTGTCTGGCGACAGCTGCGCGCCCTCCGGCTGCTTGTGGCCCTCTCTGCGGTGGGGGAAGGGGTCGGCGTGGCTCAGCTTTTTAGATTCAGGGAGCCCGGGGGTGGGAAGAGAGAAATGGAGTTCCAGGGGCATAAGGGGGAGGGAGTTCGCCTTCCTTCCCTGCCTGAGGCTCAGGAGTGACTGCTTTTCCAATCCTCCCAAGCCCCCCGCTCCCGATAGTCGCAAGTGGGAGTTTGGGGATCTGAGCAAAGAACCCGAAGAAAAGTTGAAATATTGGAGGTCAGCAGTCCCGCACCTTCCCGAGCGCCCAGGGCGCCCAGAGTGGACATGGGTGGGGAGGCCTTTGGAACAGGTGAGGTTCCCGGAGCGCAAGCGCATACATGAACCCACCCGCGCGCACGCAGTGGCCCTCGCCCCACCTCATCCCCTCCAGCAACTGGGTCGGGTCAGGAGGGGCAAACCCGCTAGGGAGACACTCCATATACGGCCCGGCCCGCGTTACCTGGGAACGGGCCAACCCACTCCTTCTTTGGTCAATGCCGGGGACCCGGGCGGGGGCCCAGGCCGCGAACCGGCCGAGGGAGGGGGCTCTAGTGCCCAACACCCAAATATGGCTCGAGAAGGGCAGCGACATTCCTGCGGGGTGGCGAGGAGGGAGAGCCCGCGGGCTATATAAAACCTGGGCAGAGGGACAATCGGCCACCGCAGCGAACAGCGCCGAGCGAAGCCTCCCTCCCCTCCCGCGGCGACCGGGGCCGAGCCGAGAGTAGCAGTTGTAGCTACCTGCCCAGGTAGGGCGGAAGTTGGGAGGGGGCAGGGGGACTGGGCATTACCGAGGGGAACCCGAAGGACTCCAGGGCAGAACCCAGTCGGCTCATCTGGTCAGCCTCAGGCCTGCGCCCTGCGCGCTGTGCCTCGTCCCCGAAGCCACACGAGCTTTAAACAAGAGACAAGACAGTCGGCATCTGGAAGTTGGACGTCTCCAATTTTTTTTTCTAGCCCCTCTTGGTTGCTTTACCTGGCATGTAGGATGTTCCTAGGGAGATAAACGGTTTTACTTTAGTTGTCTTCAAGGCAGTTCCTTCCAAACTAGCGCTAGAGCTAATGCGCAGCCAGGGCCACCCACTCTGGGTTTCCACCAGGCAAAAGGCCCTTACTGAGTTTGAAATGTAGGGTTCCTAACAGGTCACTCTTCCCTGCATAAGGTGCCAACCCTTTCCCATGGGCCTCTCCTTCCACCCTCACGCTGGCCCAGCGAGCAGGCAGTGCCCAGGCCTTATCCCCCTAGGTGACAGATGTGGTCAGGGAGGCGCAGAGAGGATGGGCACTAGCGTCCAGCTCTTGGAGCAGGTGTCAGGCAGGGAAGGTAGGTCTTGGGGGACATGTTCCCCTGGCTGTGCAGGGCAGAGGACTTTTCAGTGTGGTCTCACGACGCTGTGCCCCCTTTCCTGGTTCATAACAGCCCTTAGTCAGGGGACAAAGCTCGGGAAGAGACTCCCTGGTCGCCGCCCTGGCAGAATTTGAGTGGCTCGACAGGGGATGTCCCTAGGTTCCTAGGGAGCGAGGATGTTGGGGCTGGCAGGGCCTACCCAAGCCGCTGAGGCTTCTGCGCTATTGCACCGCGCCTCTTCACGGTCTCCCTGTCCTTGCAGAAACTAGACACCATGTGCGACGAAGACGAGACTACCGCCCTCGTGTGCGACAATGGCTCCGGCCTGGTGAAAGCCGGCTTCGCCGGCGATGACGCCCCTAGGGCCGTGTTCCCGTCTATCGTGGGCCGGCCCCGACACCAGGTCAGGCTGCCCCTCCGCAGAGGGAACTGGACCCGGGTCCCCGCATAATCCAGCCGGTGCCACCCGGAGCGGCGTTAACGGGTGCGTGGTGTCTCCGCTCCGCAGGGCGTCATGGTCGGTATGGGTCAGAAAGATTCCTACGTGGGCGACGAGGCTCAGAGCAAGAGAGGTATCCTGACCCTGAAGTACCCTATTGAGCACGGCATCATTACCAACTGGGACGATATGGAGAAGATCTGGCACCATACCTTCTACAACGAGCTCCGTGTGGCTCCCGAGGAGCACCCCACCCTGCTCACCGAGGCACCCCTCAACCCCAAGGCCAACCGCGAGAAGATGACCCAGATCATGTTTGAGACCTTCAACGTGCCCGCCATGTATGTGGCCATCCAGGCCGTTCTGTCCCTCTACGCCTCCGGCCGGACCACCGGTGAGTGCCTGCAGCGCCCAGACCCCTCTCCCGCCTCCGCCTCCGCCCCTAGCGCCCAGCCCCGGCCTCGCCCCCAGCCGCTCACTCTCTCCCTCGCGCGCACAGGCATCGTGCTGGACTCCGGTGACGGTGTCACCCACAACGTGCCCATCTATGAGGGCTATGCGCTGCCTCACGCCATCATGCGCCTGGACCTGGCGGGCCGCGACCTCACCGACTACCTGATGAAGATCCTCACTGAGCGCGGCTACTCTTTCGTGACCACAGGTGCGCGGCGCCCCGGCACCCCAGGCGGGAGGGCCGGCGGCGGGCGCTGAGTGAGGGCTCCTCTCCTGCTTCTGCTCTCCGCAGCTGAGCGCGAGATCGTGCGCGACATCAAGGAGAAGCTGTGCTACGTGGCCCTGGACTTCGAGAACGAGATGGCGACGGCCGCCTCCTCCTCCTCCCTGGAAAAGAGCTACGAGCTGCCAGACGGGCAGGTCATCACCATCGGCAACGAGCGCTTCCGCTGCCCGGAGACGCTCTTCCAGCCCTCCTTCATCGGTGAGCCCCGCGCGCCCGCGCCCGCGCCGCGGCCTCCCAGCCCCCCGGCCCCGCGGGCCCGGGGCGCCCCGAGCTCCCGCTCATGCTTACCTCTCGCCGCCCCCAGGTATGGAGTCGGCGGGCATTCACGAGACCACCTACAACAGCATCATGAAGTGCGACATCGACATCAGGAAGGACCTATATGCCAACAACGTCATGTCGGGGGGCACCACGATGTACCCCGGGATCGCTGACCGCATGCAGAAAGAGATCACCGCGCTGGCCCCCAGCACCATGAAGATCAAGGTGGGCGGCGGCCTGCGCGGGCTGCCGGCGGGGTGGGCTCCGGGGTGAGGTCTCCCCACCTCACGCGCTGTTTTGCAGATCATCGCCCCCCCGGAGCGCAAGTACTCGGTGTGGATCGGCGGCTCCATCCTGGCCTCGCTGTCCACCTTCCAGCAGATGTGGATCACCAAGCAGGAGTACGACGAGGCCGGCCCCTCCATCGTCCACCGCAAATGCTTCTAGACGCACTCCACCTCCGGCGCGCGACTTCTCAGGACGACGAATCTGCTCAATGGGCGGCTGAACTCCAGCCACTCCGCAGTCACTTTCTTTGTAACAACTTCTGTTGCTGCCATTGTAAACTGACACAGTGTTTATAACGTGTACATACATTAACTTATTACCTCATTTTGTTATTTTTCGAAACAAAGCCCTGTGGAAGGAAATGGCAAACTAGAAGAAGCATTAAAGTCATTCTGTTAAGCTGCGTAAAGTGGTTGTGTTTATTTGCTTGGGGTGGGGGGAAGGGAGCGGAGCAGGAAGAGGGATTCCCATCCCCTACATCCTCTGAAATCACTTTTCACAATACCCCAAATGAATGAGATCCTTGGAAGACAAAAGTGACACTTCCCACGCTCCTTTGCAGGCTTCCCCCCTGGATCAGATCCATTCCAGATCACTGGCGGCTGGTGATCTGCCCCTCTGAGGTGTGGAGAGGCAGTTTTCTTCCACTGCGCAGTGCTCCCAAGAGTTGCCCCCACTGCCAGGTCGGCCTCGGCTGATGGCCCTGGGTCCCGGCAGGCAACGGGCGCTGACCATGGTGCTGGGGCCAGAGAGCTGGCCCTCAGAGGGCCTCTCAGCTCTGCCTACGGTGTTCTCCGACTGAATCTCCAGATCTGAGACGGGGGGTGTGTTTTGTATATAACAAGTCATTTTGTTTTTTGTTTTTAATAGAGACAGGGTCTCGTCCTGTCACCCAGGGTGGAGTGCAGTGGTGCCATCTAAGCTCACTATATCCACTAACTGAGCTCAAGGGATCCTCCCACCTCACTAAGCCTTCCCAGTTGCTAATATTTTAGCATGTGCCACCACGTCCAGCTAACTTTTAATTTTTTTTTAATTGTAGGGTCTCAGGGTCTCGTTAAGTTGCTAAAGCTGGTCTCGAACTCCTGGCCACAAGCAATGTTCCTGCCTCAGCCCCCTAAAGTTCTGTAATTGCAAGCCTGTGCCACTATGTCCAAGCTTAATAAGCCAGTTTTAATTTGCAAATGAAGACTGTCACTATCTCTCTCTTACTGGGAAATCCTTTGCTTCACACCAGGTGCTGCTGGCAGAAGGAAACACCCCCTCATACAGGGGCTGGGAAGGAGGCAAGGAAGGGCCAAGTGAGAGCTCCAGAAAGAAGGGCAGCAAAGCAGTGTCAGAGAGGTGGGAAGCTGAGGCTGGCATTGGAAGAGGAGGTAAGCAAGAGGAAGAGGAACACTTTCCCAGCCAAAAAGTTTTAAAGGCAGCAAATATATCAACAGAGTATGAATTTCTGTGGGAGAGCACAATACCTATTCTTTAAAAGGAAGTTAATGTTTCCTAGTCAAAAGCAGTGGTCCCTAAATATAATGGATTCAAACTCAAGGTAATAAACTCATTTGTAAATAAGTTTATAGCTGCAATTGACAAAAAAGCTATGTTATATGCCGCATAGTCATATGTTTAATCCCTCATTTTCTAGCCTGTTGAAAAACTTCAGAAATCTTTGAGGCCTCCCAGAGCGTGGTCTTTCAAACCCAGATATCAGGAGTATTGACAATATTGAAAAAATTTAAGATTTTAATATGTTCACTGAAAACCTTATATTGTCCCATTTGGGATGGATAAAGGTTAAAAATGGATTAAATGCTAGTCTTTCAGACAAATACCACTTTAATTGATAATATTAAACACATATAAATGTATCTGATGTGATAATACACTAACAAATGGTAATATTGAATATGCAAATGCATATCTGAGCAAATGTAACCTATACACATATAGCTTAAATAATTCATTCATGGCCAGGTACAGTGGCACACACTTGTAATCTCAGGACTTTGGGAGGCCAGGAGTTTGAGACTAGCCTGGCCAACATGGTGAAACCCTGTCTCTACTAAAAATACAAAAATTAGCTAGGCATGGTGATGTTCACCTGTAGTCCCAGCTAGTCAGGAGGCTGAGGTGGGAGAATTGCTTGAGCCCAAAAGGCAGATGTTACAGTGGCCAAGATTGTGCCACTGCACTTCACCCTGGGTGAAAAAGTGACACCCTGTTTCAAAAAAAAACAACAACATTATTTCATGTAGCCAGCAGCCTGGTAAAACTATTACATGTGTTAGCTGACTGTCCTGCTAAAGAGTTTTGAATGAGAACCCTAAATCAATTGGGATTTAAGTAAGATATGTAAGGCCTATTTCTCCTGTGATCAAATCTGTAAATGACTCATAATAGTTTAGAATTGACAGAAGTTTTCAATATACTATGATAGTATTTCAAGCTATCTTGATAGTATTTCAAGATAGTATTTTAAAACCCATCGTTGACACTGTTTTACCAAAAATAAGTGCAAAAATTAGGAATTATATATTTTCACTGGAGATGCACAAAATCTAAGAAATATCATTTATTTTTATTATTTATTTATTTTGAGACAGAGTCTTGCTTTGTCACCCAGAATGGAGTGCAGTGGTCAGATCTTGGCTCACTACAACCTCCGCCTCCTGGGCTCAAGCAATTCTCCTGCAAACTGTTTGGATTCTGTGGGTGCTGTGCTGTTTCTCTGTTCATCCAGGCGTGGCCGTGAGTCTGCTCCACCACACAGCATTGCTTCCTGACAAGATGGGATGAGTTCTAGATCCTGGTTCTTATGGAGGAAACACATCTCTTATTGTGCTCAAGAAGACCTGCTTCTTGCCCTGGCTACAGGGAGAGAAGAGAAAGTGGCATGGCCTGACCCAGCAGTGCCTCAGCCAGGAGGACTGGAGCAAAATGGGTTCTGCCTGTGGGGTCAGCCTGCCTGCCTGCCTGTCCTCTTTGTCTCCCTTTCTGTCACTTCCATTTCCTTTCTGCCCTGCTGTGTCTTTTGGAAAGCATTTGTTTTACCACTGTTGCTATGTCCTAGTGCTTGTGAGGAGCTACCAAGATCTTTTGAGCTTCTACTGTGGCTCTCAAAAAGAAGCTGAGGAAGCCTGCTTTGTTGGTTAGACAGGGAGCACGGTGGGAACATGGTGGTCCCATGTCCACCTGCATCCTTGTCACTCACAGCTGGAGCACTGTTCGGGCAGCCTATGGACTGCGACTTCCAAAAGGGGCATGAGGTGGCAGAAGCAGCTGCAGGGTAGTTCTGTGGCAGATGGGAATGTGGGCGGTTCTCCAAGGCCAACCCAATCAGGTAGGAAGCTGGAGGGCCTGTCACTGGGTGAAGGAGCCCTGAGCCCTTGACTGGCCCTGCCTTCCTTGTCAGATTCTTAATGGCTTATCCTGATATTAAACCATTTCTAGAAGTGGTGAATGAGGGAAAGGGAAATTTGGAAGCATGCAAAGATGACACTGGTGGTTCTCATGGATATGAATAGAATCACGGTTGCCTTTTACCACCCCATTTTCTCTAATTTCTTACATGGTGCCTGTGTTTGGTTCTTCTGGCTGCTGTAACAAAGGCACAAAATGTGTGGCTTCAAACAGCAGGAGTTTATTCTCACAGTTCTGGAGGCCAGGAGTCTGGAATCCGGGTGTAGGCAGGGTAGGTTCCTTCTGAAGGCTCTGAGTGGGAATATTTCCATGCCTCTCCCAGCTTCTGGTGGTTGCCAGCAATTCCTGGCATTCCTTGGCTTGTAGATGCATCACTCCAACCTCTGTGCCCATCACCACACCGCCTTCTTCCCCATTTGTGTCAATGTATCTGTGTGTTCACCTGGCTGCCATCTTCCTCCTCCTCCTCCTCCTCCTCCTCCTTTTTTTCTTCTCCTTTCTCCTCTCCTCCTCCTCCTTCTTCTGCCTCCTCCCCCTCCTCCTCCTCCTTTCTTTCTTCTTATTCTTTCTGCTTCTTCCCTTCTTCCTCCTCCTCTACCAGAAGTCTTAATTTTTTTACACTGATTATGCCTCAATTTCATAGAGAAAAGGTTCCAGCAGCTCAGGCTTCTTTGGTTCTCACGAAGTGTGCTTTTCCAGCTATAGTAGGCTAGTGTTTCCATTGAACCTAGGTACCTTTCTCTTTGGCTTCCTTCTTTTACTGATTTTTTTTTCAATGTGCTTCAGGAATTTATCTTGTGTGCCTAATATTCTCAATAAACACATTAATTATCTTGGCAAGAATCTTACCCTTGACTTGTTTGTAACAATGTCAACAGCATGCTGGGTACCATAGTATTTGTGAGACATTCCCCCTGCCTTTCTTTGTTTTGTTTTGTTTTGCTTTTTGGAGACAGAGTCTCACTCACTTTGTCACCTAGGCTGGAGTGAAGTGACATGATCTCAGCTCACTGCAATTTCTGTCTCATTCTCATGTCTCAGCCTCCTGAGGAGCTGGAATTACAAGTTCATGCTACCATGCCCAGCTCATTTTTGTATTTTTAGTAAAGATGGAGTTTTGCCATGTTGACCAGGCTGGTCTCAAACTCGTGGCCTCAAGCAATTCACTCACCTCAGCCTCCCAAAATGCTGGGATTACAGGCATGAGCCACTGCCCCCAGCTGAGGTTCCCTTTGGAACAGTGCCCAATCCTTGATGCCATCAGAAAGATGAAAAATAAAAGCTATATCAGACATTCCTGTACATCCATGATTATGACTAAAAATAAAAAGACTGGTAACACCAAATATTGGCAAGCATGTGGAATAACTGAAATTCTCATACTCTGTAAGTGGGAATATAAAATGGTACAACTTTGGAAAGACATTTGGCAGCTTCTTATAAAATTAAACATGTAACTAACTACTCTAATACCTGAGAATGTTCACCGGTAGGAATTTACCCATGAAGCATAAAAACATATGTTCAAAAAGAGACTTGAACAAGAATGCTAATAGCAGCTTTATTCATAAAAGTAGAAACTGGTAACAGCTTGGGTATCCATCAGCAAGACAAAGAATAAACACGCTGTGTGTAGGCTTATAATGAATACTATACAGCAATAAAAAGGAACAAACCATCGATACACAAAACAACATGATAAATCTCAAAAACATGCTGAGTAAAATAAAATTTACACAGTGCAGTATATGCTGTAATATCCCATTTATATGAAACTTGAGAATAAGCAAAACTAGAAAAAAAACTAGAATTGTGGTTGCCTCTGGAGAGTGGAGGAGGAGATTAAGAACCAGTCCAGGCATTATGAAACTTTTGGGGGATGATAAAAATGTTCTGTATCTTACTAAAGGTTTGGGATATGCAGGTTAAATTCATGGCTATACACTTAAGATGTGCATTTCACTTTACATGCCTTTTAATGAAAGCAAAATT